GTGAAGAGAGCATTTTTGCCTCCCAGCTTCTTTCTGCGGTACTTTAACCAGCGAAGGTGGTGTTTTTCCTGCACTCTCTCCCAGTTTCAGTTAACTTCGTGTTAGAAGATTTTTGGATTGCACACATGTCAAGTTGTAGGGATTGTCTGTTACTATTGCCTCCGCCAAGGGAGGAGGTAATGTTTTCGGTCGTGTCTGTCTGTGGACAATATTACTCAAAAACTTAAGGACGGATTTCCATGAAATTTTCACCACAAGTGGGTATTGGCCAAAAGAACACACCATTAAATTTAGGTGATGATCCGGATCACGATCCGGACCCAGGAACAGCCAATCAGCTTCAAGGAAGCTGACCGTAGACTTTCAATCACATCGGATCATTCGTAGACGGGTCAACCCCCTGACTGTAGACATCCAATGGGATTGCCTGAAGCAGTGCAGAACACCAATCATGATGCACATGGAAATTAAACTTTAGACCGAATTGTTTTTAAATCAAAAAACTTACTGTTTGAAGTTACTTTAATGTAACAACAGATCATTTTCATAATACATCGGCCTGCGCGTCCTAACAGTTTTGTATTTTGTGTTTATGTTTTTGGAGTTTTTCCCCCCACCTGTATTGGAAAGATAAGCTAGCTAACTCTCCATCCCCCGTTTAGGTCTGTTATCCAACAGATAACACTAAGGTTTTCTTAAACAATTATGTTTATTCTGGTTTTTTATGGCTAAATTTTTCCTTTTTCCGATGCTGTTCCACTCCTTCTGTTGCATGTAATTCATTGCATATTTAGTCATTGTAAAGCACTTGTACACAAACACACATATGACTATAAATGTAATAAAACACACACAAAACAAACTCACACACGAACATACGCCCTTGGCGGAGGTTTGTGCCCTCCGAGTGCTTCTAGTTTACACAGATTTTCCCTCATTTTGCAGGTATATAGATGTGTAGAGTATAGAATCTCGGGTTTTTTCAAGTTTTAAGGATTTTTTTCAAAAACTCCTTTGGAACCAAAGTGAGTTTCTGGTATTTGTGCAACATCAACAGGAGAAAGCAGCAACACGGTTGGACTGAGTGGAAAAACATCAACGCTGCTTCTTTAAAAGCAGATGTTGGGATCTTCTCGTTAGATACATACATCAGAATAAGACTGATGTGTTTAAAAGGAAGTGAAGGGCAAACTGGTTTTGTGTAATACTCATTTCAGTGCCGCTAATTGCTTTCCCTCTTCTTTTTTTTTTTTTTTACAAAAGGTAAAGTTGACCTCCAGTGACTGATAACATCAGCTGCTCTGAGTCTGTTTTCTGCTCAGCGCCGGCTGGCTGGAGATCACTCACAGCTCAGGTCACAGATGTTAGCAGTCTACTCACATTCAGGTAATTAAAGTTGTGCCTTTACAGGCAAATGAAGCTGAATATTTCTCAGGCAAACATGCTCCCTCTTGGTTTAAGACCCATTTATGTCTATATGAAAACCCCTGTGAATTTACCTCAAAACCTACTTATGTACCTATACTGTAGCTGACGCCATTTTTTTACCATCCACACTTACAGTAAATACAAATGTCCTGCCTTGCTGTGTGGTGAGTGGATTCATAGTTTCCCTACCAGGACTACGAGTTGAATCATTAATGAGATGTAGTGAAAATTAAAGTTAAGTTGAAWGGAAAGCTGTCAGGATCACCTCTGACATGTTGGACCTTTGATTCTTCTGATGAACACCTGATTCATCAGTCGTTTTGTAGAGCTGCTGACACTTTGTGTTGATTTAAAGATGAGTATAATTCACTGTCACATGTCAAACTATCTGTATCCTGAAGGCTTTTGATTGACAGTAAATTATTTAAATGTTGCGGTTTAAGGTTTAAAACACATTATTCTGAGTCCTGGGCTTCGTTCTCTGAAGGAAGGCTTATTGATTCAGTATAAGATTTTCAGACAAAAACTGTTTTTTTTTTTTTACAAAACACTGTTTTAATTTGTTTTCTAAAATACCTCTGCAAGCACAACAGCATTTCTAAAAATGTCTCTATCCACATGGAACCACCAAAACTGACCCAGAACACTGCAGAATCTAAGCAGGGCCTGCAGGTAGGTCCAAATGGGTCTTCAACAGAACAATGGGCCTCATGCAAAAAGCGTTGGTACGAACAGATTTGTTAATTTGTGTGTTCGAGTGGTTTAGTACAGTGTTTCCCAAAGTTGGGGTCGGGACCCAAAGTGGGGTTCCGAAACATCAAGGTGGGGTCCTGAAAAGATTTTCTGAATTAATTACATTTTTGCCTTAGTTGTTACAAATGAGTGAGGTTAGTGTATTTAAAGTGGATAAATGTAGTATAAAAATATTGTTACTATGCCCACGTTTTGTTGACCTGATACAAATGTTTATCATCCAAAAATTGTTGGGGGCACAGGTCTCTGCTACTGTTTTTTTGTGGGTCAAAAGCTGAAAAGTTTGGGAACCACTGCACTTTGGTTCCCAAAGTTGGGCTTGAACCCAATTATGGGTCATGAAGCACCTTGGATAATCACCAGAAATCAATTTAAAAGGTAATAAAATAATTACTGATGTAATATTTTCCCTATAACTATTACAAAAACACAAAATAAGTATAAATAAGTATTTATATTTGTGTATAAGCTGTTTATATTGTCAGAAAGCCTGTGTTTTTAGGGTTATTAACGAAGTTCATGTGCTCAGACCAGTAATATTTGGGGTCACAAGTTTTTGCCATGGATATTTTGTGGGTCAGAAGATAAAAAGTTTGGGAACCACTGGTTTAGGAGAACTCGGGGGGTGGACTGGCACATTGATCAGGGCTGTGGTTCTTCTTCTGAATAAATGAAAATTATTTAACACAGTTGTTTCCTCTTTTCTTCCACATAACTTAATTAAAAATATTTGACCAAAGGAAAACCAAAACAGGACTTGAGAGAGATGAATATGATTTAGAGTTTTATTTCTGTGACTGTATAAGACCCACAGGAGACACAACATTAACAGCAGTCGTAATTTGTCCCATTCAGCTTCTTTAATTCCACAGCTGACGCTGCTAAAAATGACAGATTTTCTTTTCTGGATCTCTTAGAGCAGGACTTCAATCTCCGAACCCATAAAGTTCTTTTTACTTTTTGCTGTTATTTTAATGAATGGACACTTCCTGGTATGTGTGACAGGAAGCATAGCCTTATATGGTGTTTGTGTGGTGGTAGATTATACTAACCTCCTCTCCTCGTGCGTGAGCGCCTGATACACATTCATCAGTTCACGCTGCTCATTTATGCACTTTTCCTGAAGATAGAAGAGTTTGTTGAATCTGACGTCACATGTTCGTGCAAACAAAAGCAAGTGAAATTTAGGATAAAAATACGAAAATATTCTTGCATGAGACCCACTGATTCTGTACAAACAGATTAAATCCAAAGAGGCTGAAGGACATCAAAGTCCAAGTTTTAGAGTGAACATCACAAAGTTCTTATCCCAGTGCCACAGAAGGTCTGTGTGGACAAGGCGACCTACAAACCTGACTCGGGTCTGGTCCATCAAACCAAGGAACCCTAGAACCTTTGACCCAATCAGAGAGTTTAAAGACAAAGCTGACAAACACTGAGAAACTTTAGACTTTGAAGGACTAGTATAAAGATTCTCTCTGTCATTATTCAAACATTTAGCAGATAGAAGTTTGTGAATCCTGAGCTGAAACTAAAAGTTTGTTTCTTTTGACATAGTCAGACAAACTGCTAAAATCTGACCGATTTAAGTCTCTAAAGTGAAGGGATTTGTTACAGGTGGTGTTGAGTCGTATTCCAAATGTTTCTAAGTGCTGGACAGCTGCCCTGACGTGTTTGAGCCATAAATTGTTTCCATCAGTTCCAGAGGGAATTTTTATCAAACTTTTCAAAATTCGCAAAAAATTAAATAAATAAAAATTAGAATCTAGACAGTTTCCATCTAGTTTCCCTCTCGACTTGATGCGAATAAACGAGGCTACTCAATGCGTGATTACGTCAGACGAGGCTATGCAATGCGTGATTACATCAGACGAGGCTACGCGACATGTTATTACGTCAGACGAGGCTACGCAACGTGTTATTACGTCAGACGAGGCTACGCGACACGTGATTACATCAGATGAGGCTACGCAATGCGTGATTATGTCAGATGAGGCTACGCAACACGTGATTATGTCAGACGAGGCTACGCAACGCCTTATTACGTCAGACGATGCTATGCAACGCGTGATTACGTCAGACGAGGCTACGCAACGCGAGATTATGTCAGACGAGGCTATGCAACGCGTGATTACGTCAGACGAGGCTACGCAACGTGTGATTACGTCAGACGAGGCTACGCAACGCGTGATTACGTCAGACGAGGCTACGCAACGTGTGATTACGTCAGACGAGGCTACACAATGCATCATTACGTCAGACATTGGCGACAAGCTTTGCGGTACTAAACAGGAAGTGAAACTTGCTAACTAGCAGAGGCTAATCATCTCGGGACAATGGAGCAATTTTTTTCGTGAATGCCTTGCTATTGGGCAAGTTGGAATTATTCTATCTATTCAGCTAGTACAGGCTATGTTTAACGCTGCCAGGAGACATAGGGAAATAAACGCAATGTTAAACTATGCAGCAGAAAGGCACGTGCAACTACGCCGGGTTGAGGCAGGAAAGCGGAAACAGCTGAAGGTCACGTGAGGTAAATATGCGCTACGTCAGAATTTATTCGGCAAACGTGTTTCCATCTCCCGTTTTGCACATTAACTACTTTAAGAATCATCCAAAAACCACCTCAAGCGAGCGTAAAAACTTTTAACAAATTGAGGATTTTTTTTTTTCGAATTTTGCTGTTTCCATCTGACTTTTTTTTGCATTTTTAATACGACACTTCTAAATGCGCATCAAAAAGCCTTGATGGAAACACGGTTATAGATTCAGTTGTCCAAAGAGCCGCCCAACCCCTCCCCCAGACCCCCAAGCCTAACCTGGTTCAGGCTGACAGCAGGAAGCGGTGCTGGGGTTTGCTGCTGCACTGCCGCTGCTGTAGGGGTGGCTGTGGTGTTGGAGCTGGTGGCACTGCGAGGTTCTTTCCTCGGGGCGGTCTTCCCGCTGACAGGTTTGCTCCGTGGCCTCAGGGGGTTCTGGTGGTCTGGGGGAGGGGGCGGCGGCAGCTCCTTGTCTCTGACTGCAGGGCTAGTTGGAGAAAAGAGAGGAAACACTGACAAACAAACGAACAAAGTGTTTGCCTCAGCTTGCTCCCTGTGTAAATGCAGAAAGGAAAAGAAGCTGAATAAAGTAATTGAAAACAGCATGCAATCATCTGAACGTCTTTAAATGTTTGTAATTGAAGATGAATAAAGGAGAGTTATTGTGTTTTCCTAATTGGTCTAAGTAAATCTGACAGCGGGGCCTCACTAACCATGCTTCCAGTAAATGCAGTGAAGGTTTCCAATTTGCTTCCAGTAAAATCTGAGTTTTTTTTCTTTTTCCACACGACAGCTGCCAGAAAGCCCAACATGAGCTAATTTTAAAGATATATAAACAGCTGCTTCAACTAGACTGAGCAGAATATCAACATGTTTATCAACAATCTGAGCTAAAAATCTAGATTATGATGGATACCTTGTATAGTTGGAGGAAACGGAACAAAGATGAGCACATCTTAGACCATTTAAAAGTTAGTGAGAGTGACATCATCACATCGGTATATTAAAGACCTGACAAGCCGCCATTCTTTACTTGTGTTCTCCTTGTGTGCTACAGATGCTTTAGGTTTTATGGTTTTTCCTCAGATCTTCCCAGAATGCACTGCAAACCCAGAACACCATAGATTGGACTTAGTTTTTTAACTGTAGCTCAGAATATTATCTTCAAAACTGGAAGTGAAGAATTGTTTAATTGTCAAACATAAAAGTATTCAGGATTGACCATCATCAGCATTCAGCTGGCTCTGAAAGACCAGAATGAGAGTCTTAGCGGTTAGCGCTTAGCATTTAGTATATTTACGTGTTTAGGAGTTTACTGTTAGTTTCTGCAAATTTTTTATGTTTAGCATAGGGCTGGGCAGTATGACCTCAAGTTCATATCACGGTATAAATTGAATCCCTTTACGGTAACTGTATATATCGCAGTAGAAAATGATCATAAAAAGTAAAAATAATGTAATTTTTAGAGCATTTTTTTGCAGAAATCTCTAATCATAATCAAACCCAGCATTTTTGCTGTAGTGCAAATGAACATATCAGAAGTACAAAAAATGTTTTATACATATTGCAGAACGGTTTCAACAACAAACAAAAACATTTCTTAAATTTTCAACAATATCAAAATAAAGTGGATGTTATAACCAGTACTTCAAGTAAAATTAGTCATTTAGACATTAAAATTTCAATGTTGCCTAACATGTTATAGTGTGACATCTTTTTTTATCATCTCTGTATGTCACAAAAAACTATTTGTTTGTCCAACAACTTGGGTGTGAAAAACTATAGTTGTTGAAGCTTCACTCTGTGCGACGTGCAGCGTGCGGGGGGGGGGGTGATCCCGATGTAACTTTTCCACAGTGGGAGGGGGAAATTTTGAGGACTTATTCTCTCTATACGTGTTTAAAAACCATAAATGTCTTCATTTATTTTCAGAATATTTTGAACTCCTCCTCCTTCAGTTGTCTCTGCACTGGCAGCCCTGTTCACATAGGTGTGATGACGTAATGACGATATGACGGTAGAGGGTAAATTTCTACCATAGGCCAACTTTACCATTTCTACCGTCTACCTCATATACCACACAACCCTAGTTTAGCAGTTAGCTCATTTTTACTTGTTTAGCTTTTTAGTTTTAGCCTTCTTTATTTTAAACTTTAATTGTTTACTACAGAGCCCACTAAGGGTCAGTGGGAGAAAAAAAACAGCCGCTGGAAATCTGTGCTCACGGATTACTAAACCGTGAGCACAGATTACTAAACTGTAAGCACAGATTACTAAACGTGAGCACAGATTACTAAACCGTGAGCACAGATTACTAAACNCGTGAGCACAGATTACTAAACCGTGAGCACAGATTACTAAACTGTGAGCACAGATTATTAAACGTGAGCACAGATTACTAAACCGTGACCACAGATTACTAAACCGTGAGTACAGATTACTAAAAGCGTGCACAGATTACCAAACGTGAGCACAGATTACTAAACCGTGAGCACAGATTACTAAACTGTGAGCACAGATTACTAAACCTTGAGCACAGATTACTAAACCTTGAGCACAGATTACTAAACGTGAGCACAGATCACTAAATGTGAGCGCAGATTACTAAACCGTGAGCACAGATTACTAAATCGTGAGCACAGATTACTAAATTGTGAGCACAGATTACTAAACGTGAGCACAGATTACTAAACGTGAGCACAGATTACTAAACTGTGAGCACAGATTACTAAACGTGAGCACAGATTACTAAACTGTGAGCACAGATTACTAAACGTGAGCACAGATTACTAAACCATGTGCACAGATTACTTATCCGTGCTCACAGTTTAGTAATCCGTGCGCACGGTTCTAGTAATCTGTGCACACAGTTTAGTAATCTGTGCACACAGTTTAGCAATCCGTGCACACAGTTTAGTATTCCATGCACACGGTCTAGTAATCTGTACACACAGTTTAGTAATCTGTGCACACGGTTTAGTAATCTGTGTTCACAGTTTAGTAATCCGTTCTCACAGTTTAGTAATCCGTGCNTCCGTGCACACAGTTTAGTAATCCGTGCACACAGTTTAGTATTCCGTGCACACAGTTTAGTAATCCGTGCACACAGTTTAGCAATCCGTGCACACAGTTTAGTATTCCATGCACACGGATTTCCAGTGGCTGTTTGTTTTTTCATCCACTGACGCTTGGCGGGCACCGTAGTTTAGTATTAGCTTCTGCTATCTTTTTACACATTTAATGGTTAGTGTTTAGTCGTAAGTATTTCTTTATTATTATTTTTTTTTTACTTATTTTGTGTTAGCTTCTGCTAATGTTTTTACCATGTTTAGCAGTTTAGCAAAAGCAAAGTTATGATATATTTTTAGTTACTGGTAGCAGTTTATGAGTTGATTATGAGATAATTTTTTTTCCAATTTAGGTCATTACAACGCTCTGTTAGAAGTTTGGCCAGTAGTATTGTTCAAGATAAAGCTAAACTTGAGTTGTTTCTGTTATGCTCACACACATATTTAGATTTGTCCCTTTAAACACGAGCAGTATAATTTTCTGCAAGTGAAAGTTCGTCTGTAGCTGCTGGAACATGTGTTGCTTCTAAAACCGAGAGGAGGTTTGTTTGGACTGAAAGTGTTTTTTGACTTGATCATTTTATTCATGACTACAGTGTGTCCAAAGGCACAAACTGCTGAGTCATTGCTAATGAAAGGAAACACTAGGTAGAAGGATTATGTGTGGAACAAACACAGCTGTGGGTTCAGCTCTTCTTCTCTTTACCTGTGTTGGTTTGTTCGACTCCATGTTTGGGTCGAATTTTCCTCCCCACTGTTCGACCTCTCCGCCCGTCGAGGCTGTTTTTTCCCAGTGGTGCTCCTCCTCGGGGTCGTGACCTCCTGCCCCGACAGCAGGCCTGGTGACAGCCTCGTCTTTGACCTCTGACCCTCCCCAGAGGTCTTCTGGCTGAGCTTGACTTTGGCTTTCTCTCTACCTGAGCTGCATGAAATGAAAGTTTTACAGATAAACCTCATGTCTGCTGCAGATTTGTCCAGGTAATTGTCTGAACACCTACCACAAGGTTGTCCTCGTGTCTTTGAGCTCTCCTGCAGGTACAGCTGGATCAGGTGTACCGCTGGACCCACAGGGTTTGGTCTTGGCAGCTGCCCCAACTCCTGGTGCTTCAGTCCCTGGAGAGAAAGTCTGCTGATCCTGGCTGACAGAGCCTTAACAGATTTAACCAGAATGAGTTATTCTAATCAAACTAAAATGTGGTCATTAAGTTCGATTTTAGTGTTTTGTTTTCACTGACCTGTGTCATTGTGCTCTGGTTGTGCAGGAACCAGGGGTTTGGTCTGGGTTTGGACCTTATTCAACCAGCTGTCCAGCTGCCACTTGTTGGTGGAGGCGGGCTCAGGCTGGAGGAGGACCGGAACAACTTCATTAATATTTCAGCTCGTAGAATCTGGAGAGCCTATATTTTATCAGGATGCTTTTTTCCAGGGACACCATCAAACATAAAGAGCTCAAAGACAACTCAAAAAGTCCAGCATCCACCATTTTCATTTTACATATTCAGTGAAACATGACAGAAATAAATGAATACCTTTGTGCTGTGAAAAACGTAACACAAACTAGCTTTATGAATATAGTTTTTGAACTAATTTCAACCTGTTTCAGTCTCAGCTTTGGAAATAACCGTTCACTTCTTGTCCTGTTGTGTCTACCTACTGTACAGCACTTTGGTTGGCCTTGTGCCGTTTAAAGTGCTTTATAAATAAAAGTGGTATGGTATGGTATGGTGTGGTGTGGTATGGTATGGTATGGTATGGTATGGTATGGTATGGTATGGTATGGTATGGTATGGTATGGTATGGTATGGTATGGTATGGTACTTCTATATGAGGTGCAACGTCACGACAGGAACCTGATCAAGTGAGGCCACCAGATTTTAATTGTGCAAGGCTGAAAGCAGTTGCAAAGATTGACTGTCTCATAGAAAATGCTCCCCTACAAACAAACAAACAAGCAAACAAACAAACCCCCACTTCCTTTCTGTCTGAAGGGCTGTTTACACCACGCAGATTAGGTGTGAACATAGGGAATGGAGAGGGTGATAGATTTACATGTAAGAGATGGACTTTAATGCTATCACCTTTATGTCCTAAACAACATGCATATCAGGCAGGTCTTTCTACAGAAACACCTTACATGATGTTGTTTTGAGAATAGAACGCAGCCTGGCATGTGGACAATATGCGCTTGGCTGCTTTTTGGACATACAGGGGGCATTTGACAATGTACCTGTAGAAGCTATTGAGAGAGCACTTGCCAACAAAGGCATGGATGAGACAACTACAAATTAGTTTGTTTTCATGCTTCGGACAAGGAAAGCATCTTCAACTCTGGGGGACTGTTGGATAACCGTAAACCTCAGACGGGGCTGTTTACAGGGAGGAGTAATCTCGCCGCTGTGTTGGCTCCTGGTTGTTGACAGCTTACTAAATGAGTTGAATGGATCTAGACTCCATACACAGGGGTATGCAGATGACCTGGTCATACTTATAGAAGGCTTCTGCCTGGGTACTGTATGTAACCTAATGCAGAGGGGATGACAGGAAGTTCTTGCTCTCAGCACCATCTGGTTACTAGTGTGTCCAGTACTAGTGTATCCAGATGTGTAGAGCTCTCCCTGTCAGAGTCAGTTAAATTCTTGGGTGTCTATCTAGACAGGAAGCTTAACTGAAAAAGACACATAAATAAAAACTGTAAGAAGGCAGCAATGTGCCTACACCAGTGCCATAGAATTGAAGGTGGTTGTTGGGGTGCTACCCCAAAGGTTATCAGATGGATCTACACAGCCATAGTCTGCCCCCAAGCTATGCTATGCTGCTTTATTGTGGTGGGTTCCAGTCCAAGTTGGGGTGGCAAGAGTGATGCTCACCCACGCGCAACGAATGGCCTGCCTGAGCATCACAGATTCTATCAGAACAACACCCATGGCAGTCATGGAAGCCCTACTGGACCTGGCTCCACTAGATTTACATATCTTAGGGGAGGCTGCATCCAGTGCAGTAAGGCTACGCCAGTCAGATAGGTTTTTTCCACCTACTAGACTCACAGCACACTAGGATCTGGAACTGGACAGTTGCTGCTGTTCCATTAACTGCAGTAAAAACAACTTTGAGCTAAGTTCTAAGACAGATTGAAGATATGTCAGCGTGGAGTAACTTGTAACTTCTCTATGGTGGACCTGTCTCCCAACTACTTCTACTGTTTTATAGATGGATCCCTTCTGAAGGGGCCAGTAGGTGCATGGGTGCTGATTTTGCACAATCACAGTGAGCGAGTACATTCACTAGGTGGTTTTGCAACTCTATCTCAAGCTGAGATTCAATTAAATTCAAATTCAAAAATACTTTATTGATCCTAGAGAGAAATTTGGTATCTGATATCTGCAATATAGATATCTGCAATCCACCAGTGTGTGGCATCTCTCAAAGACCTTCACAGAAGGAAGGAAATATTCATTCTTACTAGAGTTGCATGATATTAGGAAAACCTGTGAAGTGCGATAACAGTGCTTAATATTGCGATGATGATACAGTATGACTTGCGATAAATCAACAAATATGAATGTATGCACTGCTAATATCTTTCTGCTCCGGGTTCAAAGCCCCAAAAAATAAACGAAAAGAAACTAATCATTTCCATTCCAGCCTGATTTTTTTTAAATTGACCAAATTCATTGAAGGGCTCTATTTGATTGGTGAAATATTTCAAGTTTCCATCTGAATGACAAAACGCATGAACGCAAACTTTTGAGTAAACCATTTATTGCAGTTTACGCAATTGTTGCGATATGCACAGATACTGATATTGCACAGGCTATTATTGCGATGATGATAAATTTTTGATATATTGTGCAGCCCTAATCCTAACAGTTAGCCATGCTCTATTAAAGCTATTAAAGCTCTCCAAGGGCCACACTTTACATAATTACTAGGTTGGGAGTGTGCCGAAGCAGCAGCCAACTGGGGAGAGACAACAGTGTTATTGTTAAATGGGTACCAGGACATACTGGCATTAATGGTCACAAAAGAGCTGACTACCTTGAAAAAGCTGGCAGTCAGGCTCACTTTAAAGGACCAGAGCCTGTTGTAGATACCTCAGCAACAGTCTGTAGTGCCCCTTTTCCACTAGTGCCACTTAGTCTAGTGTCGGTACGGTTCGGTACGGTTCCAAGCTATTTCCATTAGGCCAGATTCATGGAACCGGCCCTTTTTTAGTACCTACTTCGTTGTGGTTCCAAGTGGTCCCAGTCGACACAAAAATGTGACATCAGAACACCGTTCATCACTGATTGGCTAGGGGGTGGAGTCACTGGTTGAGTCTGAGCTGCCTTTACA